ATATGCACCTCCGGTCTTAAGTGCACGCCATACTCTTTCCATCAAGCAACATACATTCCATACATGCGTTCCATATATTATGCTATCTGCATGTTTTGATTTCGGTCTAGTAAACTAAAACTCGATGAATATGCAGATTCTGGTTCTACATATTTACACTACACATATATACGTACATGTATGTAGAATAACTTAGTGTCTATTCTATATATCTATATATGGATACGTATATGAACATGTATTGTTTATATATATATTTACATTTATGTGCGTGTTTGTGTGTGTGTGTATGTGAAAGAAGTGTGTGTGTGTATGTGAAAGAAGTGTGTGTGTGTGTATGTGAAAGAAGTGTGTGTGTTGTATGTGTAAGAGGTGTGTGCGTGTGTATGTGTAAGAGGTGTGTGTTGTTGTGCGTGAAAAGTTTGTTACTTATGTTACAATATATATATATATATATATATATATATATATATATATATATGTTGGTAATATATATATATATATATATATATAAATTCAATTCAATTCAATTCAATTCAATATATATATATATATATATATATATATATATATATATATATATATATATATATATATATATATATTGAGCGGTTCATGCACAAATTCTCTCGGAGGAGTAAGAATAATAAACCTTTTTATAATATTTACTGACGAAGACCCACATTTTCATTTTCTGGCCTCATATTCTTTATTAGAAACAAACACACAATTAGAAGAAGAACAAGTGGACGAAAAAACAGTTCATTTGTACTTTCTTCATTCGCTTAAACGCTTAAACGGTTTAGATGATTTTTTTTCTTCGCACACCAACCAACAACTTCATTATCTACGTTGAATACAACAGGCGTATTACAACACGAACATCTGCATTCAACTCCAAGTTATACATTTCGTGTACATTTTTGCCGATCCAACCAACGTTTGCGAGCGAAGAATAAAACTCATTATATTATTACGCAATAATTATTCCATTGTTTCTTGTAAATAATATGGAGGAATGATGAAAAATGAGAATGGACTTCAAAAGTTGTTCAAAAAATCCAATTATTCGCTTTCATTCATTCACTCACTCACTCACTCACACACTCACTTATCACTAATTCACTCACTCATCATTAATCCACTCACTCATCACCCACTCATTCCTTTATCAGCATCACTCATTCAACGTCCATCAATGGTTGAACATTTTAAAAGAAATCGCCGCAGGTTAAACATTAATTCAAGCTTGAAATGTTTAAAAAATGATTGCAATGTTTTAATTTTTTTTTTGCAAACAGAATTAATCTTTTGATGGAATTGCTTTTTGAATAATTTTTCCATTTTATTTTATAAAAAAAAACTCTCCTCTTTAAGCAATAAAAACTTACGTTCAAATCGAAAATATCGAATCATTCATCCTACCACAAAACGTTCAAAAGTCAAAAGTCAAAAGACAGCGAAAAAACATCATGTTCATCCAGATACAAGATGCAAACATTATGTTCATCCAGATGCAAACATCATGTTCATCCGTATACAAAAATCATGTTCATCCCAAAATAACATGTTCATTCCAAACATAATGTTCATCCTAAACATAATGTTCATCCTAAACATAATGTTCAACCACGTAATGGTGCAACTACCGCGTTTAAATTTAAACTTACCTGCCTAGGTATTTTAACGGTCGCCTAAATAAACCAGATGCATTGATGTTAATGTACATCCACTCACATTTCAACGAGCCTTCATGTTCCTCTTAAACAGAAGAGGATGTGGGTAAACGTTATACGGAGCCAGTGGCGGATCTAAACAACTTGGACGGGGGAGCCAAAGTTTTCACGGGAGGGCCGAAATTTGTGGTAGTGTGGATGACGACCTTTCATTTCTTTATCACGTTCAGTTTTTGGTCGATTTTACCGATATTACACACAAAACGGTCTTTTTTCTGATTTTATTAAAAATCTAATTACAACGGAAGGGCCACTGTCCCCGTCCCTAGATACCCACTGTGCGGGGCAGCAGTTTTTTTGGCTCTTAGTAAATTTCCTTCCCGAAACAAAACATTGTACTTACACAAGCTTTTTTATTCTCACGACAAAGATTTTAGTTACGCCATATACCTCCAAAAGTTAAGTAAGTATCCATGTAATTAGTATTATACTAATTGTTGGAAATTTGACAGTTCTGAATCCGGATTCGGCCAGAATTCTGGGGTTCAGCAAGATTCTGGTTTGTCAAATCTAACGCTAGGGGCTTGTAAAAACTCAATCCATGGTTAATGGTTATCGAATGAAGTTAAGTTGAAAAAATAGTTTAGTTATATATTTTTATCCACAAACTGAAAAGAAAATCTTTAAAACCATGTTTTTATCACGTGTTAAACTTTTTCAACGCATGTTTTTAACTACAGCCGAATACGACATTTTTATCTTTTAATTACGTCATAATTACGTCATCAGCATGGGTTAAATCATGAAGAGTCTAACTTTATGTTCTTGTCTTTCAAATTAAAATGGAACATGGGATTTTATCAATTGGATTCGGATCAGGATACCAGGAATTCAGAATTCATTAATCCGTCCAATGCCTAGTTAACGTTTACATTTGCAAGTACACACTTCAGTCACATTGTGTATTACATATATTTACATACACAATTCAGTCACATATTTAGTGTATTACATATACTTACATACACAATTCAGCCACATATCTGCCTTATTAAAACTTTGTTTGACTCTTAGAAGCCCGTGCACCAAGTTAAAAATTTTCCGTTTTTTCCAATCATTTATTTGGTAAAAAGAAAATCACCAGGAGATCTAAAAGAAAAATAACTTGTGCAGACCACCTTAATTAAAATGTGACTGAATGAATGTCATAGCAAAAACAAATGAAAATTTTCAAATGATTAATTCAAATTGAAAAATTAAAATTTACCATGTTTCTGCAATTGTCTAAAACATTTATACAATAGTAACCAAAATCAAAGTAATATCACGAGTATAGAATAATAATAACTAATTAAGTTTACAGAACACTTTCGAGAATTTTTTTCTTGGCTGTCTTTTTAAGAGGCAATGGAAGAGAACTGTGAATTATGGAAACCAAATTCATTCCACATTTTAACACCTCGTATGAACTACCGTGTTTCCTCATATATAAGACATCCCTCAAATATAAGACCTAGCACGTTTTTTGTCTATTTTTCTAATATAAGCCCTCCCTCGAATATAAGCCCTCCCTCGATTATAATTTCTAGTATGAATCAGCTGACAACAACAAAAACTTCTGTCAAAACCACACCGGAAACGTCAACTGCTGCAAGATTTTTCGTTTTTCGAGGATTTTTCGTTTTTCGAACTGTTTTTCCTCCTTCAAGCATATCCTAAGGTTACAAAGCTGTCAAAGTAAGGGTTGTTTTTTCTATTTAAATAAACTATTTTGTAACATTTTGCCCATATTTAAGATGAGTGGCAGGAGGAAAAGTTACTCTGTCGAATACAAAAAAGGAATTGTGGAAGAATGCAGAAATCAAAATATTACTGCATTTTGCAAAGAGAAGAAGTTGGACGTACGAATGGTTAGGAAATGGCGAGCACAGTATGATGATCTCAATCAAAAGGTTGAAGATGGGCAGGCAAAAAAAATAAAATGTGGCTCTGGAAATCGTCCATTCTTTTCAGAGTTAGAAGACATCATCTTTGACTGGATTGCTGAGAAGAGAGAAAACCGTATGGTTGTGCGCAGAACTGAGATTCAAGCTTTTGCTCTCGAGATGGCTCCTACACTTGACATCCCTCCTGAGGAGTTCAAAGCTTCAAAATGTTGGCTGGATCGCTTCCTTCAGCGGTATGAACTCTCACTACGAAGATCAACAACACTGTTCAAGCTTGAGGATAAAGAAGCTGTCAAGAGAGCTCTCATGTTCAAGTCTTTCATGGATGGTTTGGATTTTTCAAAGTATCAGCTTTCCAACATGATTGCTATGGATGAGACTGCTGTTTACATGGGTCAGGACACTCAAAAGACAGTCGACTTCAGAGGAGCTTCATCAATTTATGTACCATCAACTGGATATGAAAGTGCACGCGTCACCTGCATTTTGGCAATTCGTCTGGATGGGAAGAAAGCTGCTCCACTTCTTATTACCAAAAGAAAGAAAGAAAAGATTGAATGCCAGGGAAGAGTTTATGTCTTGGAATCAGAAAAGGCATGGAGTACGCAGAATGTAATAAGAAAATGGGTGGACCTTAGGCTGCCACTTGTTTTAAGAGGAAGTCAACGAGGTCTCCTCAGTTGGGACTCTGCAAGCACTCATCGTGCAAAGGATATGAAAAACTTCTTGGCAAAAAGAAGGGTTGATCAGGTTATGATCTCAGCAGGGATGACTGCTTACCTCCAGACCTTTGACATTGCAATAAACAAGCCTTTCAAGGATTACCTCAGACTTGAAATCAATGATTATATTGAGAATAGGATGTCAAGGAACAAAATAACAACTTCGTGAAGCCTAATCTGCAGGAGGTAGTCTCTTGGGTAAGGAATGCATGGGGCAAAGTCACTGATAGCTGTGTTGCAAAGGCTCTGAAAGCAGAGTACTTGGACAAAACATCGCCATTTGAAGCGAGCTACATCGCAAAACACGATAGATTGGGACCTATGATACTGAAGGAGCTGGAGTCAAATGAAATCTTGGCTGGAATTCAAGGTCTTGATCTGGAAGAAAATGATGATATCCCAGAAGATGATGATCTTATTGTATTTGAATAAAATATTATTGTATTTGGGAAAAATAAATGATGTCGAAAAAATTGGCATAATAATATAAGCCCTCCCTCGAATATAAGACCTAGGGCAATTTTTGGGAAAAAATTAATATAAGACCCTGTCTTATATTCGAGGAAACACGGTAGGATTTATCATTTAATCCTGTCCTACTTTTGGGTATTTTTAGCATGCTGTTTTGTCTGGTCTTTGACGTAATTTTTTCAAATACAAAAATAGTTTTGTGGCTGTCAACATGTTGGATTTTATGAATATAAATTAAAATTATATACTTATTTATCTGTTTGATGTTAAGAAATCCACAATCAGTGAAAATGGAGGCAGTATGGTCGTAAAACTAAAGTGAGAAGCAAATTCTCAGTAAGCGTTTTTGTGCTATTTGTAATTTATAATTTAAATATTTACAGCTGTAGCCCCAGAACAGATTACCATATATGAGGTACGGATAAAAAAAATGAATAATAAAGAATAATCATTGAAGTTTGGTCAAGTTTATTACGTGCTCTATAAATCACGCCAATGACTGTGTAACTTACTGATAACCAAGTTGACGTGTTCAACCTATTTCAAATCACTTTAGATGATAATTCCAAGGAATCTGACAGACGACACTCTTGGAAAAACGTTTTCGCCAAGAAATATTTTTAAATTGTTAAAAATAACGTCATTTGTTTTGATCTTAGGACCGAACACTATGAAGCAAGATTTTTTTATATTCAATGTTAATTTTTTGAATTCAAACCATTCCATGAATTTATTTAGTTCATTATTCATTTTTGAAAATAGGTCAATTGGATTATCTCCAGATAAAAATATGTTAGTGTCATCTGCGTGTAATATGGTTTTCCATATGTTGGATACTAAAAGTATATCATTGACAAATATTATAAATAGAAGCGGTCCTAGAATCGAGCCTTGTGGAACTCCAGTTCGAATAATACCAGGATGGGAGTTGAAATCATCTATAGAGGTATATTGCGTTCTTGACATTAAATAAGATTCAAACCAGTTGAAGATAGGACCTCGAATGCCATAGATCTTTAATTTTGACAACATTAGTGGATGATCAATGACATCAAATGCTTTTTTGAGGTCTATGAAGATACCTAAGGTAAAATTTTTGAGTTCGAAATTATTGAGAAGCGAAATGTGTAGTTCTGCAATTGCATCTTCTGTTGATGATTTAGGAATGAAACCGTATTGTTGTTTATGAATTATATTGAATTTTATCAAAAAACTCCATAACCAGTTAAACATTAGTTTTTCAAAGATTTTAAAAAATATAGGGAGTATAGATATTGGTCGATAATTTTCAAATAGTTTCGGATATCCTTTTTTGAAGATTGGCAGAACCTTAGCAATCTTCATGCTACTGGGAAATTTTCCCACTTTGATTGATTTATTAAAAAATATAGCTAAAGGTCTAGCTATATTGCTAATAGTCCGTTTTATTAAGTTAGATGACAAGAAGTTGCAATCGAGAGTGTTGCTGGTTTTAAGTTTCTTAACAATAAATATTATTTCATCAGGTGTTGCGTCTTCAATGTACATAGAGGAAACACATGATTCAATTTTTTCAAAAATAGCTTCGTTTGCAAAGTTTTTTCTGTTTTCATTCAAGTTTCTACCTTGTTCAATAAAAAATCTGTTAATGCATTCATTTTTACTAGTTCCTATAACCTCATTGATGATCTTCCATTTGGTTCTAGCACAGTTGCAGTGTTCAAATTTTTTAGCGTAAAAATTTTTTATTGTAGACCTTTTTAATTTAATAAAATCATTTTTTGATTTAATATATATTATTTTGTTATCTGTTGTTGGGTTTTGAAGGTAATTGATATATAATTTGTTTTTATTCTTATGAGGTTAATAGAGATCAATATCCATCCAGGGCTTTCTGAAACGGTTTTTCTTGTTTAGAAGAGGGCATGTATGGTCTATGATGTCCATGTACTTCATTAAGAAGATGTCGTATTCTGTATCTAAATCAAGGTCATGTTGAGTATCTGGCCTTTGAAATTTTGCCAGTTTATCATTTGCTTGAGCTATGTTATCCGAGTTGATTATTCTAGTTTTTATGCTGTTGCGTTTGGAAGTATTAGGTAAGTTATCTGGAAGGCACAGAAAAATTGGAAGGTGATCAGAGATATTTTCCAGTAGTATACCTTTAGTGAAAACAATACTTTTATGATTGGTGAAGATGTTGTCAATAATAGATGAAGTTGAATCAGTAATTCTGGTAAGTTGATTTATAATAAGATGTAAATCAAATCCTGCAAAAAGATCTAAAAACGTTCGTATGTATGTTGCTGTTGGTGTTGTCCAAGTTTATGTTGAAATCGCCAACAATGAAAACATCAAAAATAGAAGCCATTGGAAAAAAATTGTTTAGAAACTCATTAATTTCATTAAAAAATCTTCCAGTTTACCTCCTGGCGGTCGATAAACACATATATAGTAACATGTTTTGGCGTTGCAGATTATTTTGACTCCACTCCATTCAAAGACATTAAAATCATGGCTGAAATTATCTAAAACTTCATAGATTAAATTATTTTTAACTAGAAATCCTGTTCCGCCACCTTTCTTGTAGGATCTATTGTTGAAAACAAAATTGTGATCAGGAAAAGTAACTTTCAAGGAGTTATAATTTTCGTTATCACTTAACCAAGTTTCACTCAGGCATACTATATGATTAATTAATTGAAAGTTATTTACAAGCTGAGATATTTCAAAAGTGTGTGCAATCAAGCTTCTGCAATTAATATGAATGAGGAGAAAATTGTATGAGCCATTACGTTTACATTGCAACAATGATTTAAGCTGTGAAATATTCGGAGGTTAGACTGAATAATTCACAATCATTATTTAATTCAACGTCATAGTTCGAAATCAAGTTTAACGAGCAGCTATTCCTAAAAATGTTCCTTGACAATAAAACCCTAATTTGTTTGATAACAATAATCCGAATTGATTGTTGTCGGTGATGTAATATAGCTTGTAACAAATATAGCTTATGAATATATAAGTAATAAAAACATATGTAAATTGTTCTAAACAGACTGAACATATAAAAACATATAATTATTACTCACCTCAACAAGGTCACGGTCAATTTTAAAAAACTGTTGTAAGAGAAATTATTTTTGGTTGAATGTAGGCAGGTGGGTTGGATTTCTTCGAAGCAATCCTTTAAATTTAACGTCATACTGGCAAACGCATTAATCACCAAAGACCTGAATTCAAGAAAAAACAAATTAATTGCCTGCTGGCATTTATTCTCGAGAGTCATTTGTCCAGAGTTTTTGTGCTCGCATCAGATCAGATGGCTCGTTATGAGGAGATTGTGCTGGAGAATAATTCAAATTTTTGTGGTCCAACGACCATGAATGCCACCATCAGTTGTTAGGTAAGTAAAACTTTGAAAGTTGACTAAATTTTAGATCGTTTTCAAAAATTCAAATTCAAAATAAAATGCGAGTGGTTATTTTTGTCAAGCTGGAAAAATTAGCTAGTGAAAAATTTAACGCAAATATTTGATTTCGTGAGGATATATATAAAATTATAATAATATAAATAATTTTTTTAAAGTATATTCAAAAGTAGGCCTGATGGAGCTAAACTATTTTTTCTTCCCTCTTTTCTCAAAGTTTTGTGAGAGAACAACTGCGAAATCTGAGCTGTTAAATGTTTGTGAATAATTTAAACTTCTCCAAAAATTGTGAAATTGTGTGTTTGTGTATGTATATGTGTGTGTGCGTGTGCGCGCGTGTGTCTATGTTCACTCGTAAGTTTGTGTGTGTGTGTGTGTGCAAGCAAGCGCGAGTGTTGTGTGTGCAAGCAAGCGCGAGTGTTGTGTGTGAGTGCGTGCGTGTGTGCGTGTGTGCGTGTGTGTGTGTGTGTGTGTGTGTGTGTGTGTGTGTGTGTGTGTGTGTGTGTGTGTGTGTGTGAGTGCATTTTCTGACCAATTATATTTTTGTTTAACAAGAAGGATTTATATTACAAACAACAGTGATGAGACTGTTGACGACGACGATGATGAACATGTTCATGAAATTATGGACTATGAAGTCATTGATGATGTGAAGATGATGAAACGGATGTTCATATAAATCCCGACAATGATGGGCAATGGAGACTTCATATTGGACGATGTTGGGTTAGCAGTGTGCTGAATAATTGATAGGAAGACGACACCAGCAGGTTATTTATGAATGGCATTGTAAAGCACTTGAAGGCCTGCTGTGAAATTAATTCCATCCACTGACCGTGAAATTGATATGTCGATGTGTGGTTATCTGATTGGAATTAATGTTGACACGTGGTGTGCCTTTCTAACAAGAGCCAAACTTAACCTCAGATCCTCCAGTCAATATATTCTTAATTATTTTTTTCCATTATTTTTAATAGAAATGAATTTGAATAAATATTAATTAATAAATATCATGAAAATAAAATTTGTTTTTTTTTGCGAGTTGAGAGATCTAAACTGAATTGCAAATTTAGTTACAACCACCCATAATAACGTAGAAAAGCAAACTTCCATACGTGTGCCTCCACACACAAAACATCCACTTACACATCCACACACACACACACACACACACACACACACACACACGCACACGCAAGGAAACCCAGATACACACATGTACAAATAGAACAAAATCGTAAACACACGCACACAATAGCACACGTACTAAGACAATGTTGTAAACACACACACACACACACACACACACACACACGCACACACACACACATGACAATCACTTAATAGAGACGTCATGCCAGATTAAATATTGAATTCTAACTTTACAATTGACACCATCGATAGCATGGAATTCAATTCAACTCAAATTTATTAATATAGGTCTGATAAACATTGCCAAGAAATACAATAATAATTTATTATTTTTTTCATTTATTTAAATATTTTTTTGTTATTATTATTATTTTTATTATCATCCCTGGTATTATTTCATCTTTAATCACAGATTATTTAATTAATAACAATAGCAAGCGATAATTTTACGCATTAATAAACATTCATTGGCAACCTCTGTGTGTGTGTGTGTGTGTGTGTGTGTGTGTGTGTGTGTGTGTGTGTATTTGCATGTTTACGTGTGTGTATGCGTGTATGTTTGTTCGTTTGTGTGTTTGAGTGTGTGTGTATGTATATGTGTGTGTATGCATGTATGTATGTTTATTTATGTGTATGTATGTATGAGAAGATATGTATGTGTGTGTACGTGTGCACCATTTGCAAGCTTGTAAATTTAAAAAAAAAACAATGAATAAACAACAACAACGTATTAAAACAAAGTGAACATATTTAAGATGTGGCATCTACTTATGCTACTTAATTTATAACATTCGAAGGATACTGGACGACACGCGACCCCGGGTCTATATAAACTTTCTACTATCTATGAATAAATGGTAACATCCAATCAACAACTCTTTCCAGGAAATGTTTTGGAAATAATTATTAGAGGTAAGTAGTTGGATGGATTTTATTTTTAAACTGTCTATGGGGCGAAATTTGAAGGATTCTGAGATAGTTATTGTGTAAACAAACCTAGCAACAACAAGCAAGAGATTAACAACAGCAACAACTATCACAACAACAACAACAACAATAACAACAACTACTACCATAACAACAACACTAACAACAACAACAACCACAAACGCAGCAACAGAAAAATGGAGCATTGGAACAACTTCTATTACGGTAAGAACATTATTTACTAACTTAAACATATTTAATTTCATTTTGTTGCTATCTATTGCTCCTATAATATTATACATTTCGTCATTTGATTGACTTGTTTATAGTCTTAAATAATTTGAATGGTTGAAACGCTTTTATAATTTCAGACACATTTGGTTGTGAGAAAAGTCGCTATTTATCAAATTTAAAAACTTCTTGTTGTACTGGTTTTATAAAAAAAAAAAAATACGAAAACACAACTTCACAAAATATTCGAAAATCAATTTTTTTAAAACAAAATTTCCTCATTTTGCAACATTTAAATGCTTATATTAAATGTTTTTGAAGTTGTTACATTTTTTAAGATAATTACTTGAAATCTGAAACACACTGGGCTCAGTTTTGTACAGCACAATCATGTACAACCTCAAATTGTGCAGCCACAAACAACTGTATCCAATTTGTACGTGGCGTTAATTTATTTTATATCAACTGAACGTGTAAGACGTTTTTTGTGATACAAAATTAACTGAAATGTTTACTGGAAAGTCAAATCAAAACAACTTTTGGTTAATTGTTACTGGTTGATGTTTTGATTTACAATGGTGGTGGTTCATATGTAGTGGTAGTGGTTCATACTTTACCATGTGCATTTTGGAAATAAAGTCAAAATAAAAATTAAAAATCGCGTTACAAAGTAGAGAGGCAGGCCCTGCGTACCTGAATGATGTGCTCTGGTGAACAAATTTTAAATATCGTGTTTTTTTAATTTACACGCTACGAGGCTGCTGTTTTAAAATTTGATAGCGAACGTTATTTGAACTAAATTTAGAACATAATCCGACTGTGGTGAACCTCACCTATGCATGCGGTACCAGTTCAACACGGTCAAACACGAACAATTTAAACGAAGTGCACATTTTCAAACATGATTATATCAATGTTTGAACCCTCAAATGATAATTTTTACTCACAAAGCCACACGAACACTGTTTAACACACGGCCACAACATCACACAGATTCCAGGTACAGGTCCAGTGTTCCGACCATGTACAACCAGCCTCGCCACGTTCCAACTACCCTAACAACGGCCACCAAAACAGTCGCAACATCAACAGCAACTCTAGCAACCGCAACTGCAACAAAGGCAGAACAACAACAACAACAACATTCACCCCTCAACAATGCACCAGTTTGTTTTGACGACCAAATCATCTCAATGAACAACTTCAATGATGCGCACGGCAAGTCATCTGGAGCATATAATGCAAATAGAAATACGTTTTACGAAGCTCCTGTGTTCACTAACAATACTTCAAAATTTAACATGATGGACAAAAACAAAGATCACAACGACAGTTTCAGAAACAACTCCCGCATCAACGACCCCTACAACAATCCATTCCAGAGCAATTATAATTACTATATTGGCAACAACCAGTTCCATTACGGCTGCAACAAGCTACACCGCTACTTCAGTTACGACAACTTCAACAGCCACCAGCTTCCTTTCAACAATTTCATGATCAACGGTGATGTTGGAGGAAACTTTTCATCTTCGAGCCAAGTCAACAACTACAATAACCACATGTTTCTGAATTTCAACAAAACAATGAACGACGCCGACAGCTTCAATGAACTTAGGAATTGCTTTAACACTGACCCATTTGAAGTGGAAAACGAGAAACTGAGTTTTAGTAATGATATAAAACAGAAAAACTTCAACAACAACCAATTTGCGCACTCAGCGACGAACAACTCATTTCCCAGAAGACATGCAATGAGCACAAACTTAACAAACCTTACAAACATAAACCAGCATTTCAACGTGGATAACTGCATTGAACCTCAGACCCCGAGAAACGACAGCCATGAAGGGGAGACATATTTCATGAAACAAAAAATGATTTCTGACAAATACGTGAACAGAGAGTTAAATAGGAAAAATAAAGAAAGCAGTAACACGAATGCGGATAGCAAGGAAGAGTCATCTCGGAGAGTCAAAAAGCGGCCAGTGCCGGAGGAGTTGAAGAACGAAAGTTACAGAGCGAAGCGACTGAAAAATAATCTGGCAGCCAAGAAATCCAGGGACAACAAAAGAAAAAAAGACGAAGAAAACGAGAAAATGTTGAAAAAATTGTTGGAAGAGAAAGAAAAAGTAATGAAAGAGATTGCCATACATGAAGCAATAGTTAAAAATTTGACCAACAAAATCCATGCGTATAACATCTCATTCGCTTCCGAAGAGTTTGCAGCACCTATCTCTAGGCCGAATGATTTCCAATCACTTCATCGGCATTCGTAATTGAGATGTAAAGAACTTTATTTCAAAATAATGACCAGTCTTTGTGGAAGCAGAATGTGACCAGATCGAAGCATGTCAAGAAGTGGATGGTGGTAAACATTGGTGGTCAAAAATGGAAGATAGTGGACAGGTGGGGGTTCACTCTATAAGGTGGTTCATCTGTAACTTCCATCCGAAAATTATAGAAGAACAAAACTTAACAGCCACTTCATGTTAAGGGGTAATCCAGAATTGGACGACCTTTACAAAATTATTTTATTTGATTAACTGTTTGATAATTGTACACCAGATTTTAAATTATTTTTTGTTATTTAATATATTTTTTCAGTGTGAAACTTGAACTGTACAACATGTGATTAATTTTATTTTTGTTTTTAACTTATACATATTTTTTTAACTTTTTTAAGGAATTGTTCCTAAAATTTATATTTGATCTTCCTAACTGGAAGACAATTTAAATTATTCGTCTTTTTCTTCAATGATTATTCCTCTCAATAACGTAAAACAATACCAACAAAATTCAAATTTTTAAAAATTTTCAAATAATTAACAGAAGAAAAATGTGGCCACAAGTAAGGTTTTTTTACGCAATTGGAAACCTCGCCTTTTACATGATGATACATAACGCGCTAACTTGAAGGCTCTCCATAAAAAAGATACACAGAACTACTAGAGAAAAACCCAAAACACACTCTTCAACAGCTGAACTTGCTAAACTAAATTTAATTTTCTACACATTTAACTAAATTTAACCAAAAAATACACAAGTTTTAAATATTAATCAGTCATTGAAAGTTAAATCTAAAAATTTTAAAATGACATTTTTTAGTAATTTCCGTTCGCTTGATGGGATGACCTTTGAGTTGAGGACCTTTTTTTTAATCAGATTCATCATTATTTCGTCCTTTCTAAGTTTGGTGGAACGCTTCCTCAAGTCCCTAGATCCACCATTGATGATAAATGGCACAAACCACCAGAAAACATGAACTTAAACTTGCGTAGAATGAGGCGAGTGCAATCTTAAATATCATTGGTATTAATAAGGCTGCAAGTTTATAATATATTATTATAAAATAATATTATAATGTATTATTTATTTCAATGAGAAAGCCGACAAAAAATTTTGTGGATATGCCACCCTCAACTAGAATTGTCAAAAATTTTAAATAAAAATTAAAATAAATGCTTTGTAGCTATATCAATTGCGAGCAAACTTTTTATTTCAATCAAATTTATATTTCTTGAGTTTGTTTGTTGAAAGTGGATACTTAACGCTAATATAATTACTATTAAATGAAGTTGAAGAGTGTAAAACTAATCAGATGAGCGTTAGGTATTCACTTTAAACCATATAAATAGAATAAACAGACAAGGAATCAACAAAGTAGAGTGGAGACATTTTTATGTATATTTGAGCATCTGGGCACAAACTCAACGTATCAATTTAAGCACCGAAGATGGTATAGGAACACCGAAAAAAGCTTTTTTGTTCTCTCATGTATAAAATAAACAAAAATTTTGGTTTTGAACTCAAGAAACTTGAAAATGATTTACAATCAACAGTTAGAAAAATCGAAAAGTTAAATAGGAAGATCACTAAAGCCGAGCAGGCTGTGATTTTTATCAATAATTTCATTTCTGACAGTCGTAATCCAATATATATATATATATATATATATATATATATATATACAAATATTGAATATATATATATATATATATATCCAATATATGTATATATATATATATATATATATAATATATAAACATCATATGATTAGTATAAATTCCCTCATACAAGATGTTGTTGTGTTGTTTTATCACTCATTAGATGAACGTCGAATGTTTCAACCCTGTCATCTCGAAGTAGATAGTAATGAATTAATTGCTTCCTACATGGCCTCAACTCAATTATATTATTAATGTTAATAAGTTGTTTGTACGGGTAACTGTTGCAACTGTTTTCTGGTCTGATTGAAGGTCACCGGATTGAACCGACAAAACGTTTTCAACTAGATTATCTTTTGAAAGAACATTTGTTTTGTCTTGATACTTTTTTGAAATATTCCTCTGAAAAGTCTATTAAGGTATGCTGAGTTTATTTTTATTTTAAATATTTTAAATAATTTTTATGGAGAAATTAATCAATATATCGTGATATCACTCTGGCATTTAAAACTAAAATTTCTCAGCAGCTGATAACATTTTTTTGTTTTGTTGTTACGTCACTAAGACAAATTTCACACGCACACCAACACATATTGTTATAAGAAGGAATAGGGTTAGTAGGTTTATAATGTTTTTAAAGTTTTTTTTGCGGAGAGCACTTGAACCAGGGAAGCACGCAATGAAAACACAAGACCGACCCGGCAACTTTACCCTCTAAGCTATGATGTTAGTCGTGAGGAAAAGGACTAAATTCTCCACCGAAAATAAAAATTTTCATGCTCACAAACACACACACACACACATACGCACATACACACATACAAACACATACACAATACACATACACACAAGATAAATTGTCAGCATCTGTTACGGTTACTAGTGGTGTGCGGCAGGGTAGCGTCCTGGGACCCACCCTATCCCCAATTTTCATAAACGATATAGCTGACTGTACCTCATCCCATTCTGTTAGGATTTTGCTTTTTGCGGATGGTATCAAGTTGTACTGCCGTTCATCCAACTCAATCAAATTTCAACAAGTGATCAATGATATAGTTGCTTGGAGTGCAAAATGGCAGCTACCGCTCTCTCCCGACAAATGTTCCCATTGCACATTTCCTTCTTCAACTAGATCTAATACAGTTCCTCATCAATATTCGATTTGTCATCACTATTTATCGCGCATGGACCACTCTAAAAATTTTGGTGTAATTGTCGACAACCAACTTAATTTTCATCTTCATTTCAACGATAGTGCTCATGGATCTTCCTCTCGTGCACGGTTAATCACCAGATGTTTTACCTCAAAGGATAAAGACCTACTCATCAAAGCCTTCTGCACATACGTACGTCCTCTGGCTGATTATGCTTCATTTGTCTGGAATCCACATTACAAATTACAAATAAACAAAATTGAAGATATACAGAGAAGATTTACAAAGTTTATCCCGTCTCTACATCATCTCCCATACCTGTCTCGACTGCACGCAGTTGGAATGCATACTTTGGAACGTCGGAGGTTAATTTCTGATCTATGCCTTCTCTAGAAAATAATTCAAAACCTCGTTCAAACAGACCTGAATAGTAATTTCATTCCAGCACTGTACTTATCAACTCGGGAACATCAAAGTAAAATGCTCAATCTTAGTGACTTATGGAATGCCCTGCCAGCAGATGTCGTCTCTTCAACTTCATGTACTGTCTTCAAAAATCAACTGCTCTCTGTTGATTTTTACAAATTTTTAACTATTAAATAATTATCAATATTGTTACAACTATCAATTTATCAAACTTTATTTAATTGGTTTTTTTTATGATATTATTTCGCGAGATGATGGTCATTTTTAATATTTACTATGATTTTTCAAACTTATTTTTCCGTGACGTACATTTTATTGAAATTCGTTTATTTTTATTTTTTCGGTTTAGTTAAGTGGTTCTTTATGGCCCTCTGGGCAGTTGGTCAATAAATAAATTACATACATACATACATACATACATACATACATACATACATACATACATACATACATACATACATACATACATACATACATACATACATACATACATAAATACATACATACAGACACACATACATACATATATGTCATACACACACACATACAGACAGACAGACAGACATGCATACATACATACACTGTTTCGTGTCACTCATCGCTGATTTGGTTTTAACATACATACATACATATGCAAACACAAACAAACAAACAAACCATCCATCCATCTTCAAATAAATTTTTCAACGTGAGTGAGTCTGACGACGTACTTCATATTACGGGATGATGTTTGTTAATGCGAGCAGGTAATTCGTGAATTATCTGTCAATTGAAAATTTGCATCATCAAGCGATGCTTTAGAGTTTAACACTATTATAAACTTCTCTTACAAACATTTCGCCAGTTGTTTACTGAATTTTTTGCAGTTCTCCATTTTTTTTTTTGTATCATCGTCAGACTTCATCACGGCACTGCAAAGAACGTATTTAAAATAACTTGATTGATAGCATGCAAATGCTGCAACGCACAATTACACAAACATACACACTTACACACATACAGGCACACACATACACACATGCATTAACACATAAACACATGCATTCACACATACATACACTCATACATACATACACACACATGCATACATACACACACACACAAACATGCATTTATACTTACATTTATACATACATGCACACATACATACACACACAAACATATACAAACACACATGCATACACACATACATACACACATATGCATGGAGTCGGCATTTCTTTGCATAGCTCCAGTCAAAGAACGTCCGTGAATAAGGCTTGTGACATGAAACAAACTCCTGACCTTCCTTCATAATTCACGACTTCACGTCTTCACTTCATCATACTTCAAAGAGTTTCTTCTTTCACTCGCTCATTCTCTACTCAATTGTGCTATTAGCTGGTCTTAGCTGGTATTAGCTGGTTTTAGTTGGTAATAGCTGGAATTAGCTGGAATTAGCTGTTGTTAGCTGCAACACTTATTAATCCATTCAAACATAAATCTGTTCTTTTCAGGTATATTTCAATTCTTTTTTTTCAGCGATTTAACACTAAGTTTTATAAAAAAAAGACATGTGGTGTTGTGTTGCAGTGCTTTTTGTACATCATCAGACTTCATCACGGCACTGCAAAAAACGTATTTAAAATAACTTGATTGATATTTGCTTTTTTCTGTGTTTGTGTGTGAGAGAATCATTGTGTGTGTGTGTGTGTGTGTGTGTGTTGTGTGTGTTTGTGTGTGTGTGTTGTGTGTGTGTTGTGTGTGTGTGTTGTGTGTGTTTGTGTATGAGAGAATCATTGTGTGTGTGTTGTGTGTTTGTGTGTGGTTTGTGGTGTGTGAGGTGTGATTGAGTGATGCAAGAGAGCGTGTTTAAATGTGTGACATATTTAAAATATTTAATTTTCTAAATTTATAGTTACTACTTCACTACTCGTGGTTTTATGGACTTGAGAAATTTGTTAAAAACTGCATTCAAGATGAATTCTCTTCATACATTAACTGTGTAATATTTTATAAGTTCAACAGCTTATAATTAATTTAATTTCAATATTAGCATAGTGCATAACAAAAGAATGTTGATTAGTTTGTAATTGAGAGAATGATGTTTGATCGGTGCTTGAGATTCATCGCCTGATTACTGCGAGTACGGAACATCCAGATGAAGAAGCGTTAAAAAAGAAGAAAGAAGAAACCACCCAGCAGAAAAACTTAAGAAAGTAGAAGATCTAATGAGAAGATTTCATGGTTAATGTTTTTGAAATGTCGTTGGATGAAAATAGCTCACAGTTTCTGAGACTCGTTGAGATCGGATGATCAATGAACTCTTTTTTGACTGTTTTCTGTTTTTTCGAGAGGCAAACACTGCGTGCAACTCACTCAAGAAAGTGAATGAAGAAACTTTCATGGAGTGATGAATTGAATTATTTGAAATCAACGAAATTTTCTAAAACATGGGCAAATATTTAAAAACAACTTTCAACATTTTTAATCAACAGATTAATACAATCAAACATCTTACATAACAACATCCAGCAAACAGTCAGTTGCCCTTCTGTTGGTGAGAATTACAAATGTCCTTCGGCGAAGTTTATTCAGAACAACATTCAAAAAACAGCAACGAACCACGGGAGCATGAAACAATATGCAAGATGTACAAGCGATGGTATAAACTACGTAACGTAGTACTGAGTTGTTATGGAGGAATGTTTTTTAAAGAAAATTTTCATTTTATTGCTACCGGCTGTCAAAACAATTGCACGCTTTCATCTTTTGCATAATTCTTTTAACTTTGTTCAAACGATTGCTTTTTCAGCCTACTTGGTGTTTGTATGTTTGTTGTTTACTTGGTGTTTGTATGTTTGCTGTTTACTTGGTGTTTGTATGTTTGCTGTTTACTTGGCGTTTGTATGTTTGCTGTTTACTTGGTGTTTGTATGTTTGCTATTTACTTGTTGTTTGTATGTTTTTGCTGTTTACTTGCTTTTTTATGCCTGTTCAGCTCTTGAAAACACATCTAGTTTTATAATGCAACACATACATGAATAAACGAATATATGTAAATTTTAATTTAGGCGACTGAATGCGTGCACACATTCATAACGCGTACACCTTAATAATGCACATATCTGTTAAAAAATATTTACAATGGAATCAAACCTTAAACAGTGGAGACAGGAAAGTTTTTTAAATATTTTCCCACACAGTTGTATCAGCGTTATCATTAATTTTGTTGGCCTGAGTAAACAAAATACTAACCACATTTTGAATTTGTGTAGCAATAAATCATCTGCCTGGAGAATGATGTCTCTGATTGATTAATAAGATGATTAATGCCGAAAATACTGTAACGTTGGTTCGTTTGTTAATTTGAGGTTGTAGTTTTTACTTCGTTTTGTATATTTGGAATATAAGTTTAACACTAATTCACGATTAAGTTGTTTAAATAAAATGTTTGCCGTCGATATACCCTACCAAAATGAAAAGTAATTTTTTAGTTAAAATGTTCGTTGGGCTGCAAAGGAATTAGTTCAATTGTAGTTTATTTAGATATGACAATAATTGACGTTGTGATGAATGTTTCGTTATAATTTCAACCTACAAAATTTTGCTGTTTTTAGTCAAAAGCGTTTCCATATGCGCCATGTGTCACTATTAAAATAAGCAAATAATAATAAAAATTTCTTCAACTTAAAATTTGTAACTAAATTAAAATTTTTTAATCAAAGCAAAATCAAACAAGAGAACAGTATTTTGATTTTCGGAAATAACGTGTGGTTTGAGTCATATCTTGCTGGTCGTACTCAACGAGTTTTTTAAAGGGTAATTTGGCGTCGGTTGATGTTTTGTCATTTGGTGTACCACAGGGTTCTGTTCTGGGCCCTGTCCTGTTTTTGATGTATGCAGCGGATGTTTACCAAATAATTAAAAAGTTCAATTCAAAATTTCATGTCTTTGTCAACGACATCCAGACCATTATCAACCCCTCCCTATCATCCTTTGGTGATTCAGTTAGTGACCTGGGGTCCTGTTTGACGATCAATGACAGTTGGATGATGAGACACAGATTGAGTTGAATCAATGCAAGCTCAGTTTTTACCAGTTGACACACGGCGAAAAATTGACAAGAAGAATATAAAATCTGTTAAGATAAATGAATTCAGCCTGGAGCTTTGTACCTCAGCACGCAATCCTGGATTTATTTTCAACACGAGCACGTCAATGGAAATACGCATTAAGTTGGTATTACATAATTGCGCTTACCATGTACAAAAATTGAGACACGTTTAAAAATAACTGAACATGTAGACAAGGCAGTGCTTGATTCATCAGTTCATACATTCAAGGATCGACCATTGCAACAGCCTGTTTCAATATTTGCTAAATAAATCTGTTGCTCTTCTACATCCAGAATTAAGCTGCCATAAAATCATAAAATCAGGGAATCATAAAATTGGATCAGATTACTTTCATTCTCTTTGATCTCTCATGTTTGTCCGTTGAACAGAAGATTGTTTATTAAATTGCCTCACTAGTGCGTTAACGGACAAGCTCCAAAGTATTTGATAGATAGAATTGTTCCCAGAAATACTCCGTCACTGTGTTGCACGTGGCGATTTTAGGGTTTTGATTTGCTATCGGTTTATCAAATTCCATTTTCGGTTGGTTTGAGAGATTTTGGTATCCTGGAAATCAATTTTGGAATGTCGAAAAAGTTAAAATGACACTTATTTAGAAATTTTTTCGACAATATAATTTGACCTGATTGGAATGGAATGCTACAAAAAATCTACATGTATGTCGAGTTTGAATGCAATAAAAGGCGCTATACAAATAATCCGATGGTAATACATAAATACGAATACAAATGAATAAATGAATATAAAATTAATTTTTGTTAATTTAGTTATATTTCAATATATTACATGAAATGGTTGCACTTCATTTTGTTTCCCAACACAGTTTATCAGACTTCATCTCCAGCATCATTGTTTTTTTCATCTTTTCTCATTTTGTAACATTTACTCAGTCAATTTTTTGTTTTTGTTTTGTTCATTTTTTACTATTTACGCACTTTTAAATCATTCCTTCATTCCTGTTTCTCTATTTCAATTTTATTTCACACTTCTTTCTTAATATCAATTTAATGACTTCTTGCACATTCTTGAGCAGCAACTAACTTGTTCAGTGCATGCACAAACACACACACACATTCACACACATACACACACTCACAGATACACACACACGCACACGTACAGATACATACGGATGCACACATCACATAATTTGATGCCTAATTAAGTTATGATGCTCCAATGCACACATCTTCTGTATTGTGAGTTAACTACCGGCATAACTGTTTGCTAGGAGAACGTAAAATGTTGGAAACACATGTCAGAGAAATAAAATACCTATATAGTCTAGATAAGATGATCATCCTCATCACCATCGTCATCATTTTTATCATCAGCTTTATCATATCGACCCACTTCCGATCCCATCATCAACCCACCAAACAAATAACTTCGTGTGGATCTTCAGTTAATTTCCAAAACTTGCCTGTTGCCAAATCCCACCTGGCTAGCCACGATTTCCTTTGCGTCATTCCAGGTTTATGGAACAAGATGCTTTCCAAGTGAACCAATGTTCACAACCTTTCGTGAGAAAATGCTGAAGTCATCTTTTTTAAATTGCACACGTCTGCTGCAATCGCCTTTGAAGCAGCGATGCATGCGACTCTGCAAAAGTTTTTATTGTATTCAATTGATGTTATCAGCATTGCTAGCGCTCCATCAGATCTCTCCACTCTTAACATTCAATCTTCCAAGTGTATAGATGAACAAATGTGTTAAAGGGATGTGCAGATGAAATGAATGGTTTCCATTACAAGTAGCGTTAATTTGCTCTGCAGTTGGAGCTGGAGAAGTATTTCCATCGCAGTGTATCAGTTTTATAATAAAAAAGTTGTTGGGCGATGTCGATTATCCAGCCAAACGAAATGATTGATTGCTGTAAGAATGTTTCACACCAACATATTTCAAGTGCACTGATCATAATAGATATGATGGAGCGTGATGATAGGGCAGTCAGTGCTTTGTTGGATGGTTGCTCCAAACGTTATCATTATCATTATCGTCATCATCATTACCATCATCATCACACCACCATCTCATTCTTCTTCATCCTCATCATCTTCATCATCGTTCCGATCAACATTTTTTGCTCAACTTGTCACAATCATTAAAATTTTAACCACCAATTCCTACCATCATCATCATCATCATCATCTCCCCTACTATCACGGATATCTTCGATGGTGCAGCATATTTCATCATGTTCGTTATCATCAGCATTGTCATTTTATGAATAATCAACAAGTTCCCGTTTCGATTGTTGTTTGTCTATGAGGAATTTTATTTAAAAATTGACAAACATGCTGCTACTGTGATCAGCTATGAATATTTTTTGTTTGCTCATCAGCATGTATTAATTAATTAATTATTAATTAATTAATTAATTATTAATTAATTAATTAATGAGTGAACGGTGTGTAACTAACCGTTCAACATTAGCAACATTTCAAGGAAAAACAACATTTCAAAGGAAATAATAACAGAATTGTTGAAAATTAAATTCACGCAATCAATCTTAAATCATTAGTTGAGTGCTTCACAATCATCAGGATGGGAGTGCAAAGTTTTTTTTCATTGAAAAAACTCTTTAGGCATTCGTAAGAGAATAAAAAACCAAGAAAAGAAATTGTGTTCATCAACTGGTGATAATCGT